CATGTGGTATTATTGATGACAAAGAAGGTAAATTGCGCATTGATACAGAGCGAGCATGTCAGGTGGATTGAGTATATAGATAAACTATATGAAAGTAACTCTAAGGATGATAATCTGGATGATAATGAATATTCAGATTTGGAAGATGAGACACTAATTCTAATGAGCGAACTTAGAATATCATTGGAAAAGTTGGCAAAAAGAAAGAGTACTGGACCAGATGAAATAAATGCCGAATTATTTCAAAATATGGGTGAAACGGTATAACTAGACTGCTAGCATTGATAAACACGATCTGTGACTGGTTATATTCCAAATTACTTCGAAAATCTATGTATTGCACTTCCAAAAAGCTAGTTCTAACGAGTTCAAAGACTGTCGTACAATTAGATTAATGCCGCACTCAATGAAGCTTCTTCCCAAAATCATCCAAAGAAGAATTCGTTCTAATCTAGAATATAAAATTGCAGAAGAGCAGTTTGGTTTCCGCAGTGGCAATGGCATAACTGAAGGAATTTTCACTCTGCAAACTCTATGTGAACGAGCAATAGAAATGCAAAGTGAAGTCTTCATCTCTTTCATGGATTATGAAAAAGCGTTTGATAAAGTACAGCACAAGAACATGAAAGAATTGTTAGGACAAAATATTGACAAAAAATATAGAATTATTAAAAGTCTGTACTAGATACAGGAAGCTGAAGTAAGAGTTGAAGATACTACTTTGGACCGAACAAATATTAAACGCCGAGTAGGGTAAGTTTGCATTTTCTCTCCCTTACTTTATTATTTTTACACAGAGCAATAATTAGGGACTATTAATGAAAAACGGTGTATTAATTTCTGGTACACAGATGATACGGTATTAACTGCAGAAAATAGTATCATGTTTCAGGAAATGCTCAATAAAGTAAGCAACATAAGCATTAAGCAAGTAAGCAACATTAAAGTTAAATTCCAAGAAAACTAAAGTTATGGATGTCATGAAGATGGCAAAGCTTGGAGAATTACAAGGTGTGAAAGTCAAGATAGGTAATGGAGAAATACAAAAGTAGATCACTTTGCAAACCTTGAAAGTTTCTTAACAAAAACAGTAAAAACTTTAACGAAATAAGGATTAGAATTGCAAAAGCTAAATTTCAGTTCTACAGAATTAGTAAAAATCTTAACAAATAAAAGTGAATATCGAAACTAGGACAAAATTATTAGAATGTTAGAAGACTATGAATCCGGAAAAATAAAGATGTCCAAGAAGTTTTGAGATGTAGTGCTATAGAAGGATGTTACAACTGAGTTGGACTAAGAGAGTGATTAATAATAAGGTTTTGGAAATGGTAAGTGAAGAAAGAAAATTGCTAAACAAAGTCAAGAGAAGGAAAGTAAGTTACTAAGGACATGTATTGAGGCATAATGGGATTGTGTAGGAGGTTTTGTTAGTAGTAGGAAAGAGGAGCAGATGAAGGCAGCGAAGAACATGGATGATGAATATCAAGGATTGGAGTGGACCATAGTTTGAATGAGTTGATAAAAAGATCGCATGATAGAGTGGCTTGTAGAATGCCGGTCCACGACCTCCTAACAGATGTGACTTGACAATGTGTCTATCTATATATACATACACACATATATTCATATATAAATATATATATATATATATATATATATATATAATATATATATATATTATATTATATTATATATACACACACACACACACACACAACAACACACACACACACCACACACACACACACACACACACACACACACACACACACACATATACACTACACACACACACTATACACACACCACACACACACACACACACACACACACAACACACACATCACACACACATACACAAGACCAAATAACACACACACACACACTCCGACACACAACACACACACACAGCACACACACACACAATATATTATATTATATTATATACTATAATTAGTATAATATATATATATATACATTTATATAATTAGAATATATAATAGTAATATATATACTATATGTGTGTGTGTGATGCGCGTGTGTGTGTGTCGCTGTGTGTGTTGTGTGATGTTGTGTGTGGTGTGAATATATATAATATATAATACTATATATATAATATATATAATAATATATATAATAATATAAGTAATAATACTCACATATATAATATTATCTATATATATAAACACATGCACACGTATAATATACCATCACACACGAACATATATGTGATATAGTAACGATTTATTATTATAAAACATGCAACACGTATATATAAGACCACCAACACGAACATAATATGTGTATAGAACCATAGTATATATATATAATATATATATATATAGTATAATATAGATATATTATATACGTATATATAATATTTACCCATATATATATATACTAATTTTCATATATACTAGTATAATATAATATTATATATATTATTATATATATATATATATAACTAATGTATGTATATACACTATGTATAATGTA